GGTTTCCCTCCCGACGGCGGCAGGGGAAGGCGGGGCATCGGCGGGGCCCTCCGCGGACCCCCCTAGGCTCGCCACCCCTCCTTCCCCTTCCCCCGGCGAGGAAAGGACGTCCGCGCGGGGAGGATCGACCGGACGGCGGCGGCAAAGGGGGTCCGATTGGAGGGCGAGCTGCTTAAAATACGCCGCGCTCCACTCCAGGATGTCGTGCGGCTGCGCCCGCAGCACCTCCCGGGTGTATTCCTTCAACACGGAAGCGAAGTTCGGCGGGAGCCTCGGACGCGGCTGCGGGTACGGCGGACGCGCCTCCTCCACGGCGGCCTGCGGGATCTCCATCAGGGTCACTTGATTGGAATATAGAAGGATCGATGTCGATAAATCGATAGATACTTGGGATGGCTATTTGGATGCGATGCAAGATCGAGTTTTTTTTTTGGTGTCTAAAAAAAATATCTGACTAAAGATGGCGGTACCGCGCCAGTAGTGTGTTCGCCTAGACCAAAGACGCGTCATGAAGGGTGACAGAAGGGAGTAATCATTGGAGAAATCCTCATGGGATTTACATATAGATATAGAGATGTAGAGATGTATAGGATTCAATTAAGAAAACACACTGCATCCGTGGAATCGAAAGAAAGGTCCACCACAAGTGGCACTCCCTATGTATTCTGAAGCAACTAAACCGTCAAGGAGAGGAAGCGGAATAATCGTTAAAGGGGAATAAGAATAAAAACAAGAAATCTATTTGTATCAGTGATCCTTTTTTGAGCCGAGAGCACCCGCTCCCCAGTTATTCGAACCCTCCCTGAAGCTAATAGGATTTGGATCCTCACCAAGGCCGCAACCAAACGGGCAACTGAATCGAAACCTCAAAGATCTATTCTGGAAATTGGATCAATAAATGTCATAATAAATAGTACAGAACCTTGACCATACCTCTTCTATGCCTCAAAATGCATCGTACAGAAGGTGATTAATCGCGGGTGCGAGCGCAAAGGTGTTATCCCCGATCATCTCGCACACCCCATTGCAGCGAACCAAAAATTTATGATTCTCGTCAAACCACCGCAGCTCAAACTCGTTGTTCACGAACACCTGCACCCCGCCGTTGGAGAGCAAAAACGCGCTCAGCCGGCGATCCTCGCTGAAGCGGAACCACCGAAGGTAGACAAAAGGATCCCCATTTCGACTGTACGCGTTGCGAGGGGCCTGGTAGACGGAGACGGTCCCGGGTGCGCGTTTTTGCTTCATCGCGTTCGTCGCGAAGGCCTCGATCTCCTGCAGCGCGTGAAACGCCCCGGCGAGGGCGGGGTGCGCCTTAGCCTTGACGAGCGTCGTCACCCGCGTGGCGTCCTCGCCGGCCGCCATATCCACCCCTTCCACCACAAAAAACTGCCGCTCCAACATCGAAACCACCGCGGAGTGAAGCGGGAAGGCGCTGGTGAGGAAAATCGCCCCGGTTCGACCGGGTTGGATGTGGTAGACAAACGCGAACGGCTCCGCGTCGGGGTGGATTGGGTAGAGGTGGAAATAACGAATCCACTCCCCGGCGAGGATCGCCTCGCGCTCCTCGTTCATCGCCGCCGTCATCTCCACCGGGCGCCCGGGGCGGAGGCTCGCGAACGGCCGCCACGGCCCTTCCGGGATCGCCTCGACGGGGCGCTCGATTCGCCCGG